AAATATATTAATGAAAGGCCTCGTTAACTTCAAAAAATTTGAAAATGGCAAAATATGGTCAGTGGAAAATTTCAATTTCAATGATTAATTAGCTCTTATCATCAAATGTATTTTAGAATTCAATGAATCGGCTTATCAAATCATTTCACTTTGTAATGATTTGATTTTTTATTGCAGGATGCAAGATCCATTGAAGCTTATCAAACAGGCAAGTTCACATATAACATTTATTCACACTGAGTATGGCTACAATTTCACAAAAATTGTTGACCAATCTATACAAAGTGCATATGAAGATATTCAAAGAAACAACCAAATAAAGTTTGTTAATATTTGCAGATGTTTCCCAATATTGATACTCTATATGATACGTATAATGATCCTGATGGCAATTTCACAGTGATCAGACAAACAATAAAGAAATACAGCAACAACTAAAGAGACTTGATCTTTGCACAGGCAATTAAATTCAAGAACTACTTATCCAGAAGATCAGAAATGAGTGCTCAGTCGCAATCAATAATTTTGGTGCATAACATTCTACACACCAGCTGTTGAATCAACCTGGGTTTACGAAAACCATCCAAATGTCACAAACAAGAAACGCAATAACAGTTTGGAAATGGTGACAATGCCAAAATTCTTCAGCAATCGTAATATGAGATCATCCTGATAGGCGAAGACTTGAAATGCTTTGCAAACTCCATGGACCAAACAACTGGCTTAACAGGTAAATCATCACATTCTCTTTCCTCATCTAGTATGATGAATACAATCCACCAATGCCTGAAACTTAAATCAGAATTAATTGGAGATTGAATATGATACAAGAAGAAACAATCCCAATTAACGGATCTTTCTCAAGTTATGTTGTTGATGTGAACGCAATCTCAGCTAGATATGAGTATATGATCCATCAAGTGATAATGTCCATTCTGACTGATACTCTTGAAGCACAAGATCACAGAAGATACAAAACTTTCAGTTTGATAAAATATCAAGTTCACAGAAAGGAAACTTTAAATCTAAGAGTTGTTTACATAAGAAAACGAAAGTCTGAATCAGAATTAGTTTGAAAAATCGGTTTTAATTTATGGTCCTCATGATAAACGAAAAATCATCCACTATCTTAGATTACCAGTATTAGCAATTCCTAAATCAGATGTTAAACCTCGCAGCATATATGTATTAGCAAAGATACTTTCTGTTACGGAAATCACAACAGAAGTTATTTCAATAACAAAAGGTGCTTTCTCAAGAATTTTGAAACAGTCACAATGATTCAAGAACCCTCTTTAGATTCCAGAAAGGAACAGCTCCAGGCGATTAAAGATTAAAATCGTAAGCAACAGGTGGAGTTTTACCTGCAGAAAAATCAATTTGATATGTTGTCAAAGACAACAGGTTTTGTCAAATTGATCTTCGAAGGAAACTTCAATTTGACATTCAATAAGACGATTGTTGTTAATTCAAACAGCCGTAGTTGTTGATCCAGATACTAACTTGATTCAAGTTTACAATTTCTCTCTATTACAATAAAGCATGCAAAAACTTCAATTTTCAAGATCAACTCTGATGGTATCATTAGAGTTCCAATACTGTTTCAATTCCAAGTGGATGAGAAAGAAACATCAGCACCATATCTCTGTAAAGGTAAAAGGCACAAATGAATGAATCAGAGACTGTGTTAACTTTTGAAGAATTCAACAATCCGAAAGATAAAGCTAAAGCAACTGCAGCTTCGTAACAAGAAAGCAGCAAAAACAAAAGAAGGTATGATCATTGTTCTTCGCATAATGTCTGTTGTCACAGTATGTGTTGCAGTGTTAGTAATAATTCTTTGGCTTAGAAAGTAATTTTTATTTTTAAAATTGCGCTTTTATTTCTCAATTTGTAAGTTCTTTTTAATCGATTAAATAGAAATGCAAATAGGAAAACTTCGCCACACGTTATATCTCAAGTATTCTGATAATAGAATTCCATAATCATGTAAAGATCATAATTAGAAAAATATTAGTGTGATAAAGGAAAAGTATTCGTAGTTACTTGCATGAGAAAATAGAACTGGCAATAATCGAAATTTACTTTGATTTAACTGAAACTAGAGAAACATACTAGTAGAAACCGTAATAACGGCTTATTGTTTTTTAAGCATATTTATAGTTATTATTATTCTTATCCAATATATTTTTTGGCAATACTCGATCAGAAGTTGCCTTATTTACGCGTATATTCGTAATTAAATCAAATTAGAATTATTGCATAGACACGATTGTATCAAAGACGCAATGCATTTGTAGACTCTTGTGATAGAAAATGAAAATGTCATTATATCAAAATTGATCTTGTATCAATTATCAAAAGTTCGATAGAGAAATACACATTTTAGACTATACACTCTTGGTAATAATAATACAAATATAAACTACTTCGAGATTTTTGTCAATTTTCAAGACGAAAGCCGCGATAAATTGAGAATTTGAAATTTTTAAACATGGTAAGTAGGATATCATTATTTACTAATTCAAAAATTCTTTATATTTCCGAATAGTTTTAAATAGGCATTACCAAAAAAATTTGAGTTAACGGCTAAATCAACACTAATTATGTCCGTATTTAGATATTGCATACTTAAGTTTTCCTTAATTATTTGTGAAATGCATTTATCATTTACCTTCTATCTTTCACTCCCGCCCATTTTAAAGACTAACGATTCATTCAAAATTAATTGACTATATTCTCAATCTTTCTGCAATATTTTTTACAAACAGATAATTATGAATACTTTTCTCAGCTATAGTTTATCTTGAAATGCTTTCCTTGTTTTAACGGTCGCTTTTCGTCAGCAATCGAAGCTTATAAAAACCGGTCCATACAACATTATACATCTATGATCAAGTTGATTCTTGGAATAAATCTCTATGATCACATGCAGGTTTTATACAAAATTGCAACACGTGGATATCGATGCGGCAGCCAGGACAAAGTCAAAGATATATCTGATCTTAAAGAATGAACTTGATTATAAGATAAACAATAAACGATGAACAGCAATATACAATGTTAGCAAACTTTAAACAAATATTGGAAAAGAAGGAAAAGATATGACTATGCACTGTTCTCGTTTTTTGCAGGCGCGCCAGATATTTCATTTTAACTTCAGGTATTCCCAATTTTGGCGCTTACTTTTATCTTGGTGATTTTCGACTCTTATGTTTGGTGTTCAGCAAAATCACCCATCAAGTTACAAATGGTAAAATTGAAGAGGTATTGGTGGTGATGAAATGTGAGATTCTTTACACATTCAAGTTCAAGAGATGCATTTCACTTTACTGGATATCCGAATCTTGGACCAATAACTATCTCGAGCTGGCCATCTGTTACAATTTCATTAATGATTCATAAATGTATTATGAGCCACACTTTTTGAACCTTGCGGGACTATCATAAGGATGATTATGAACCAACCGAGAAAATTCATATTAAGGCTCATTCAGCTACGTTATATATTATGAATACTATATTTTGCCAACTACAACCTTAGTCGAATAAGGTGTCAGGAATGTCAGTTAGACAATGGTGTATTGAAGGATTCCACAAACATAGACTTGGATAAGAGGCAGATTCATTTGATATTGAAATCTAGGTCTCGTTGCAATAAGGTGCTTATGCGCTATTGTTTAAATACAGCTCAGGGTAACTAACACTCTTGAGCAGCAATATTGATATTACTATTTCACCACCAATGCTCAAAGCTGTAAACAATTTTTCTGGCCTGAATACAATTATGACATACCAGAAACAGAGATTACAATAAAAGGATACGTTTCAGATCCAGATGCACGTGATAAAACAATTGCCACCGCAATCTAATTTCAATGGCTAAAGTTATTACCCCGCAATTGTACTAACACTGATGATCAACATTCGTTCAACTATCCCCTAAGGATCACAGTAGGACGAAATCGATATCAGGTTAACAGCTATGATAGGCAACTTAACCACAGAGGAAGCAAACATCATTATTAGAGACACAACACGTTCTTAGTTCTGATGCTCGAGCCACAAGTTGAGAACATACAGAAAGGAGATAAGCTCAACTTCACGTGCCGTTGTAAACCTGATCCAGATACTGATTTTGAGTCAAAGTTTGTTATTTTCCGTCTAACTACAAAAGACACTCTTAAGCTTTCTCTTGAGAAGATAACAAAGATGGCATGGTTAGGAGTTCCTTTGTTGCAATTTCTCTATCCCAAAGTGATGAAACTGAAAAGGTTGTTACACCTCAAAGTCATAAGTAACATCAACAACAGACCAAGGCAGGAAAAATGATTTACTCTAACATTTTCGTATGAATCAACAACTTGATAAAGCAAAAGAAGAAATGGAACGAAGACAGTTACTTCAAAGCCAGCAGAAAATAACTAATCTGCAGTATTTGCAGGCAATAAACAGTAGTAGCAGTTGTTCTTCGCTATTGTATAGTAATAGTTTGGCTTAGGAAAATAAAAAAATTAAGTTATGAAAGTTTTTTAATTTGTTATAGATTATTTGTGTTTGCATTAATTTGCAATTCATTGCAAGTTATTGATCAATTATTATTTTATCTGATATCTTTTTTTAAAAAATTGTGATTTTCACAAAAAAAGTGTTATAGTAGTAGGATTATAGTCCATACAATACTATTGTAATCTCTTTTCTCGAATTTAATTTTTCAATTAGCAATTCGAGAAAAAAATATTACTTAAAGGACGACTTATCACTCCGAAAAAGACCAAAATTAAGGACGTGATTTTTTTGAAAGTTCGCGATTTTTCAAAAAGTCGCAATTTTTTCACGAATCGCGATTTTTTAAAAAAATCGAAATTTATCGTTCAAATCGCGATTTATTAATAAATCGCGAAAAAATTCTGTTCGCGATTTTTAAAAAATCGCGATTTAAGCTAAAAATCACAATTTATCATCAAAATCTAGATTTAAAAATTCGGTTGCGATTTTGCCTATTGAATATCATATTCTCCGATGCTTACTTCTGCCTGAGATTCTTCTATAAGATCAATTAATGCATTTAAAGCATATTCTCTCTTTTCCATTGGAATGTTTTCAAATATAGAATTGGTTGCTAATAATTCAAGAAAAATATTTTCTCTAACTTGTTCTAAAAGTTCGGAAAACTTTTGAGGTATTTTTCTGTAAATTGTTAGAAGACCATAACCCAAATTGTGGCCAAATTGGTATAACAGATCTTCAAACATGTCAGCGTGCTGAATTATATATTGAGCAATATCAAACAAAAGCTCTTCATCATCAATCACATCAATAATTGTGCCAAAGAGTTCATTGGCTTCACTATTCTGCTCAAAATTATCAATTTCACCAATGCGCTCTTTGATGAAATTAAAACAGCATTGTAAAATCTCAGGGCTCGCATGACCAAATGTCTTAATGAGGATATTGAAAGAATACATGCAATCTTCTTCATATCCATCAATAAATTTGCTTATGATTTCTAATGTTTGTTCTCCTAACTCTGCATGATCTTTTCCAATGTTGCTCATCACATTTGCAAGTATACCTAGATATTTGCTAATGTATTGACCAGTTTCATTGGAACTTAGCAGCACTTCATGCAATTGTGCAAGATCAGGGAAAATACTTTCGCAAATTGTTGGATTTAGATTCTTCGATACATTCTTCATTACATCAAAAGTAGAAAGAATGAAATCTGATGAGCACTCATCACTACTTAAACATTTTGACAGAAAGTCCCAAATGATTGCATGAAGTTCAGGATCTTGTAGAAATGAAATATTTTCAAGTGCAAGTTCGGCTATTTGGTGATAGTTTTCGTTGTCAACAAGGAACAGTTGGAAAATATTATTAATCATTTCTTCAGTTGGTTGCAATAAATTGGTTCTTATGCCATAACTCTGCATCATAATGAATAACTCATTTAAGTTATCATTCTTTCCATATGGAATCTTATCAAGTAATTGTTCAAAAGGTATCAATTCATTAATATAGTTATTTTCAAGATCCATAAAACATGCATAAGCTTTTCCAGCACATATGAGGCCTGATTCTGTGTCAGAATTCATGGCCTCTAAGATAGCTCCTGCTGCAGCTGAGAAAAATCTGTTCTTGCCTTCTTCCTTTGTTTCTTGATTGTTACATAATTTGCAATAACATTCATCTGTAAACATCAAGAAGAGTGAGCTTAATAATGAAGAATATTCTACATCAATTAATTCAGGCAGAATTCTGCTATAAATTAATTCAAGATCAGCTTGCACGTATAAAATATCGAAAAATGCCTTGATATTCGAAAATATCGGATCATTTTCGTCGAAATACGACAAAAGCAAATAACTGTCTTCTGTAACTGACTCCCCTGAGAACAATTTCTCATGTATTGTCGAGAGAAATGCTAAGGGAAGCTCAGTAGACTTTAAGGTTAATTGAATTGTTGCCTTTAACCTCGAAAACAAGGTTTGGATAGCAGGATTTGATTTGTTGCAGTACTTGGAGACGAATGATGATGTTTCTCTGATGTTCTGAAGCATTTTTTTGATGTCATTTCCAAGAATCAAATTTGGAGGATGGATATTCTTCAAAAGAAGGGAATACTGGATGGCCGTGTACGATTCGGAGGTCGGAATTATTCCTACAGTGTTCAAATACAAAATTAAATCCGAAAACATGAAAGAAAACCTTGGAACGTTGAAAGAAGCTACTGCATAAGGTTTCATCAGTGTTGTCTGCAATTGCGAACATACAAGATTAGCTACAAAGTCGATTCCTTCGAAATTCGTGATAAAACTCGTTAAAGGAAGCAGTTTCTCTTTAAATTCTTTTAAATTTACGGTCAATTTCGGATCCGAAATAACGTACAAGGCCAATTCTACAAGGGATTGAGTAGATGAACTTCCGTACCGGAGTGAAGCCAACTTATGAGTTAAACGGGGAGAATTAAGGGAATCTATTAATTCTGATAAGGGATCGAATATCGAGTCGTAGTTTTGGACATTAAAATTATAAAAATATTCAATGAAGCCGTGGGATGAAAGATTAGTGAACGAACTGTTGATGACGCCATTCTTGTAGTTAATGGATGTCGAAATATTCAATAAAATGAAGGATAATTGTAAAATATCTTCCGCAGGCTGGATTTCAGTAGAATTTTGACTGGAAATGTAATCAAAAAGTGGCATAAGGCCGTCAAATTGTTTATCTTGTAACGCTTTGATAAACATTTTGAAAATTTTGATAGAATTTTCAATATTATGGTCAAGGAAATGCGGCCAGTACATTTTCATGAAGAATACTAGTTTGAGTAACCCTTGTTTGTAAAATATCTCTTGAAGATGCTTCGGATTCAATGGTTTTATCAAAATATTATTTTTCAAGTGGTCACATTGGTCATTAATGATGTAGTTCAATCTCAAATAAGTATTCTGTACTGATATTTCATAAGGAACCTTTCTAATTATGTCTAACATAAAGAAAATCGTATCAAGATATCTAAACAAGGCCAATTTGCTTATAATCTCATTTAAACATGGATAATCATTAGTTGTATTCATGATTTTCATCATTTCCACCTCTGTTTGAAAATAAATCTGAAATTTTTCCGATTTTTCAAATATATTTTCATTGAATTTATGAGCAAACGCGAAATCGGTATTATGAGGCAACTTATTTATCATCTCTGATATCTCTTTTAGCACTGGATGAATGTTTGGGATGATTAAGTTATCAAATTGAAAATTATCTGTCAAAGATATATCCAAAGAGTTGTTTTTCAGGTAGTTACAACAATCATTGAACTTAGTAATGAATTCCTGAGGTATATTGTCAACATTTAAATTATCAAAATCCAGATATAAGGGAGAAAAGTCTTCGGGTGAGATTTTCGAACGGAGGGAGTCATTTGTCATCTCTATTACTTCTATTATATGGTATAAATGGAAAAAATAGTTGTTAAATTTTTCATATATTTCCTTACATTCTTCGAAATCCTTTATTGCGCGGAGATTGATCATAACTTGAGATATCTGAGATGTTTTCATTATCCGTCCGCTTAATTGGTCAATGGATTGTATTAATTTGTTAATAATTTCCGATTTGTCATTATTTTGAGCAGCAGAAATGAGTCCTAGATTGTATTTTGCATCATGAAATTCAACTTTTGGCAAAACTAGACTAATTGATCTCAAGAATTTGCGTAAATTTTCTTGAGCACTTATGAAAGATTGTTTAGAGACATCTTGGACAATGTCTTTATTCTCAATTCCTTTCTTCAACATTTCAATCGCATTTTGAATGAGCTCTGAATTTGAATCGAGGGATAATATTAAATTGAATAGATTTGTGGAGTCTTTGAGATCCTCAGAATTTTGTTGTGCGATACGTTCTGTTCCTCTTGATTCTATCATTTGTTTATATGTTTTTTCATTTTCAATTTGTTGTCTCAAAATTTCATCCTTGTTCAGAAAACTTCTTTTCTGAGCCTCAATTTTTGAGGGGGGAATAAATTGCATTGACATATGCAGTAGTTGCCGACCAAGTAGCATACCTTTGAGATCAAGTACGAGTGTTATGATATTATCGAACGCATTCGTGACAGCTTCTTTTAGTTTGTCAGCATCTGTTGGAGAAGTTTCGATGATTAATACAAATAACTCTCTGAGCTTTTGTATCTTCTTGATAATGCGATTGCATGAACGCAGCAACATCTTGTCTTTGAGAAATGACATAAGAGCTGCCATAATGCGTTTCTGTTTCTGAAAAATTGGATATTCTTCGGTAAAAACTTGTGGTGGATGTTTGGACACTCTATGATAGTGGTTTACGATTTGAACTTGTTTGTTGAAGATAGTTCTGTGTTTCTCAAATTCTGCTAAAAATTTATCGAAATAGAAATCATCAAAGCAGTCCATGGATTTGAGTGTTAATTCTCGTAGAGTGGTGTATACACTGTCTTTGACGGATGCAAACAGATCTAATTTATCGCATAATAGTTCGTATATTTTCATATTTTGAGAAAATGTATCTCTGTCGATTGGAATTATATTCGGAGAATGCATTATATTGTCAAAAAACTTATGAATCGTTTGCCATATGTTAAATAATGAAACTTCATTGTGGTTTATATTATTTTTCATGAAGATTTCTTCGTATTGAGCTGGAGTGTTATATACAAATTCTGTTTCGTCTGGATCGAAGTCAGCAAAGGCCTCGACATTAGGATCATTAATGTCAAGAACTTGAGCTGAGTCCATTCGAAAATTAAGAGCGTAGTTCGATAATTATTTGTTAATTATTTCAATGAGCCTTTTCAAAAAATACAAAATTCAAAAGAAGTTAGAAATGATGTTGGTCAAGAAAAAAATCAAATTAGTTCCGATAATTCAGCTAAAAATTTCATAGGAAATAGGTGATTTTTACATCGACGTAAATATTTCTGGGGAAAAAGTAAAAATGATTTTTGAATAAAATCACATCTAGTATATGTACATCCCAAATATTAAAACGATTAAAACCTGTAAACAAAATTTGAATTGATTATCAAAAAGTGTCTGTATTTTGTTGCAATGATTATATTATTAATCAAATGCTTTATCCGCTGGTATGAAAATAATTCATTAATTGTTTATGTCAGAAAATGAATATTTGCGCAAACAGATTTATTTTACAAAAAGTAATATTATTCTAAAAATTTATGGTTCTTTTTCAATTAAAATTTAATTAACTGGTTGAATTTTGGCAAAACAATAATTTAACAGTTTTTGAACATAACTTAATTACTGAATAATACTTTCGTCTATTTGATCTAAATCCGTTATTTTGTAATTTTTTCATTTTGATTAGCTAAAAATATTGATATTACATCAATTAACAAAGTGATTCCATATAACCAGTTATGAAGGTGTATAATTCTTAGCTCAAATTAATCAGATGCTGATTCTATATGCCTACAATTGCAAATCTTTATATTTCTTCATTAATTATATGATTTTCACCCAAAAATGTTTTTAATAAAAATAAAATATTATAATTTGTACAATAATATAAAGTTTGCGGTGATCGTTCCGAAATCAAAATTTTTTATTTGACACTGATTCATACTATTGATAAAAATACTTGATATTCAAATAGCAAAGCATAATTTACAGCTGATGTAAAACCGAGAGAATATAGTCGAATTCAAAGAAATAAGACAATTCAATAGCTGCAGACGAAATGGTAGACTTCTTCTTGAAAAATGTTTCAAAGAGCAGTTGCAAGCAGTAAAAAGTCCAAACATCAGCAAAGATAATATCCAACATTTAGAATCTAAAATTTGTAAAATTTATTAGTGCCATTGCAATAGATATATCGTAAGAAAATACAATGAATGATTTTTGATGAAATCCGAAAAACAATATCGAGAATGATATAACATTTTCATCATTGATCTTTATAAATTGTAATTTTTACTTATACATCTCATAGAATTTTATCCACTACAAAAATAACTTGTATAACATAAATTTTCAAAATTCGAAAAATAATTTTCCTCTCTGATGATTTTGTTTCTATGAAATAACTTGTTTCCTTATGTTAAAAATTCTAGTTCAATTATTGGTACTATTCTTTTGAAAAGGAAAGTAGCAATTATATCACATCATTTTTATGAGGAAAATAATGAAAAACTTCAGAGATTGCTTCTAGTATTGGATTATTACTAGACTTTAGTTTCATTACAATGGAAATGCAGTTGATTTTTAAGAAAGAAACTCAACTAATTATCATTACAAAACTGTTAAAATTGGGTGAAGTTATTACCGCATTCCATTGAGTTCTGTAATGATAGAGAACTCTATAAGTATCCAATGATGTTAAATTCATGAAAGATATAAAAATATTTACCAATAAAACAAAATAAAACGATTTAAATTGATAATATAACAGATCTTTGGCCAAGTGCTTTCACAACATCTGGCCTCTCCAAAACGCTTGGATATTGTTCTTTCACTGATCCTATAAATTTCTTAAGCGTTTGAATTATTCTTTGACCTAATTCTGTTTCTTTTAATGTTTTATATCCTGTCTTCTTGAAAACATTTTCACTTTCTATGACACAAACACTGATTTCATCTTCATTACCGCTCTTCTGCTGATTATCATCTTGTGTAATATGTTGTACACATGCATCGAAACATTTCAATGCAATTTTTACCCATCTTTCAGGGAACATTCCATCAATACATTGCATTAATGCATCAATCAATGCTTTGAAAGATAAACTTGTGCATGTATCCATCAATTTCAAGATAATAAAATTCAATGATTGATTAGACATTTGGTCTTCCACTCCATTACATAATCTAGTGATGACTTCAAGCATTAATTGTTTAACAACGCTTGGACGAATAACAGATGGTAAATCTGTTTTTTCTAGTAAAGAAAAGATGCAGAAAGCAATGTATTTATATAATCTTACAGGAGGAGGCTCTGCAGCAAAGAAAACATGAACTTTTGCAATGATTGCAAGTACTAAAGCATCTAAATGATTGTTAAATACACTTGCATCTACTTCTAATTGTTTCGAAATTGCTTTGAAAGCTGAAACAGATTGTGCATTATCTGGACTTGATAATTGATGAATCCATTCATAAACTAACAATGTACTTCCCTCCATTCTTTCTCTTAATTCGTCACTCATTTCAATCATTACATTTGACTTGATTGTCATTGTTGAAATTACATTTTTCAGTCTTTCGTCATCGAATTCTTGTGAAATTCTTTGAGATTGTTGTTCAAAGAACTGTTTATCTTCTGGAGATAATGCTAGTGTCTTTAAGAAAGTAAATAATTCAACAAGAATGTCAATATTCGTTGAATTTTCACAAATTAATTTCAAATTTTCAACGAAATAAGAATTTTCTTGTGAAAGTTTTTGAGTTCTTTGAATGAAATCTTGAGATAAACTCAATGCCAAAGGTAAAGCAATTGATAATGAATTGTTATCTAATGAGATACTCTCTGATTCCATGATATCATACAGTTGAGAAACGAAATCTATTTGAAGTTTCCTATTAATCAAAGTCCAAATTAAAATCAAATCCAAATAAGAAGAAAAGTCAGGAGTTCCTTTCTTTATCTGAGCAATTACAGCAGCTGATTCTACTTTGAAGGTATCCGGTGATTGATGGATTAATCTTAAATTAAATATAGATCTCCATTGTAACTCAATTGCTGTTTCAGCTGAATTTTCTCCATTTAATATTTTAATGGCCAAAATTCTGTCGAAATTTGAAGATTTTCTTATACTTCTTGTTGAATCTTGGTCAACAAATATGGAAACAGAGTCTTCTTCATGTATCGCGCGCATGATCAATGATCTCTTGGCAGGAACCATCTTCTTTGCAAGGTCTTTCAGTTCTTCTTTTCCTCCATTTTCGAGGAATTTTTCAATGAATGGTTCAGCATTTTCTGGTTCAAATTGGTCGGTTATCAAATCTGCAACAAGTTGAGCCAATGACTGGACATCTGGTGTGAAATTAACAGTCATAATGAATGTGAGAGCTGTTGACTTGCCTTCGTCAGTCAAATCTCTGAAAGCTGTGGCAAAGATTTCATTTACAAATCTGTCATCAACCTCTGAGAGTTTGTTTAGCATATCCATGGCAGCTCCTTTGAGTCTTTGGTTTGGAAAGTTCAATGTATTGAATAAAAGTGATAATAATGAAACAGGAGCTGATTTAATGTTTCTTCCAAGCAAAAGAATGACTCTTTCCATGAGTTTACAAATAGAAAAGAGGATATTTACATTTTGGTCGCTTAACCATGGTCCTAAAACCTTTAAAACTTCAGATACATCTTTGTATTTGAGAGATCTCTCGCCTTTTGTTGATAATAGTTTACCACATTGGTTGTCAAGTTCTTCTATAGCTTTCTTAGCATCATTTGATGTTCTACTTTGTGATAAATTGTCAATTAATTTTTGTGGGAAATTTCCTTCTTCAATTGGCTTTCTTTCTGGTGGCTGTGACTTTGGAGGTGGTCTATAATCTTCTTCAACTGGTGTGAAGTCGAGTTGGAAGTCTTGTTTCGGTTTTGGTTTTAATGAATTTCTTTTTGGTAATTTTACTGGTTCTCCTTTAGCAGATGAGTTGGAAATAGACTGTCTATGCGACATTGGTGCTTGTTGTGAAGGTGTTAATGAAGAAGGAGCTTGATTTTGTGGAGGAATATTTGAAATTTTTGGTGGAACGCTGATTTGTACTTGTTGAGGAGCTTCTACTGCAAGAGGAGCAGGATTAGGAAGTGGGTTTGTAGAAATCATCTTCATAATATCATCCATTTGTGCTTTCTTTAACATTGAGAAGCCATCTAAAATAGATTGGCCGTAAACTTGGGCCAATGTAGCAACAACTTCATTTGCTGCCTTACGGACATTTGGATCTGGGTTTCCTGTCAAAGGTTTAACTTGTTCTGCAATTTCATTTGAGTCTAAACCAGTGTTTTGGCCATAAGTTCTTAGAACATGTGTTATGTAGTTACTCGTTCTTGTCAATAGTGCTGGATTTTTGGCTCCCATTGAAGGATATAATTGTTGGAAAAATGAATTTGCCGAAATATTGGCCAAAATTATATCTCCTATCTCGAAAATGTCCTTTTCCATTCTCTTTTCTGTAATTTTATCAATAAAGAAGTTCACACCAGCTGTATATGTATCTTCTGAAATTGAACTTGGATCTGTTTTAAGATAAGTAAGAATTGATGATGTTAACTGGTTCATTACCTTAGGAGCGAATGTTCTACTAACAAAACTTGAGAATAAACCATACGCGCAGGCATTTCCTGCAGTTTGATCATCATTAAACTGTTTCATGAGGCCATCTAAGCCTGCGGTAACGTCCATTGGTTTATGACTCATGAGATTCTTCTTGTTCTCCTCTGAAACAAATGAATTCCATGATCCTGCAGCAGATCCAAAAATTGCTGATTTCTTTCTGAGGCTTTTTCTTGGTTCTTGCAATGATTTCGGTGTACTTGATGATGGAATAACCGGCGTTGGTGTTGGTTGGGGTGCTTCTTGTGGTAATTCGCGAGTTTTTGGAGTACTTTTTGCAATTGTAGTAAGTTGTGGTCGAGGAGGCTGAACTGATGCTGGAGGAAGATTTTCCCTTGTTTGTTGCTGTTGTACAGGCTGTGGTTGTGCTGCATAAGGCATACCAAGCTTTGTATGTAAATCATTTGCTTCTTTACGAGTATTTGGCAAACGATTTTGTAAAAGTGGAAAAATCGCTGACATGACTTGTTGTCTAGAACTTTCTGGTAGTATTGGCGCTAAATCTGAGAAAATAGACATTACAGCAGAAACAATTTTTGGAGATTTTGATGATAATTCTTCTAATAACGTTTGCATAACTGGTTCTGAGGAGTTGTTGTAGCATATTTTAATGATTTCTGTTGCTTTCTGAGCGTTTTGAGGTCGACCTGTGAATGATTTATCAAGCAATGCCTTTGTTAACTGCTGATAATTAAGCTGTCTCTGCATGTTTAGCAGTTGCTCGCAAATTTGGAGGCCTACAAGCTGAGAATTTGGATTAACATCTGAAACATATTGAATTACGTTTTGTTCTATGTTATATAAGTCTGGTGAATTTTCATCTTGTAATGAGGCAAGTATATTTACATACTTTTCCATGCGAATTTTCCAATCTGAAGACTTTTCGGCCATTTTTATTTGATTTTTTTTATTTTCAATGCACGTTTAAAAATTATCAACTCCATAAAACTGATAGAAATCATATAATTTGTTGATTGTTTCATATTATAAATCAGTTGCCTATTTAATATATCAGTGATTTTTCAACGTAACATATGAGAAACAAAAGTAGTATATGAGGACGGGTTGTGTGACTTTTTTTGTAATCGTAAGAATTCTCACATAATTGAATGATTTTTGAACATACTTCTGAATAGCAGATTTTAAAAATTTATGAATAATTTATAAAAAATTTTTATTCCTACAATTCCTATATTACCATTAATAAAAAGAATATATTTTTGCATAGATTCCAAATATGGTGTCAATTTTTTATTTAATATAAAATGTATGGAAAAAGAATAATATCTGATTTTGAACATTATTTGATTGATTTACTAATTGATCCACAAAGCTGTTGTAAAATTAATTTTGAATTTAAAATTAAAGGAACCGTAAATTTTGTATTTATTTATCACTTAAAAGAATATGACCGATATCATAATTTGATATATGAAACTAATATAATATTTGAAGATAACAAACTTACAAGCTTCGAACATGAAAATGATATAATATTCGAAGATGAAAAAAAGAAAGAGATTGAAAAGCAATTCAATGAATGCCTTTTAAATACATATGCGCACATTATAAGACATAAAATGAAATTAATTCCTTATTAATCAAAAATATTTTTTATCTTTATATAAAGATGACAAATAGAAAATTTTTCATCTTTTATTTTATAATAAATGAGTATAACAACTAATTCATTGAAATCTTTAAAGTTCACTAATTCAGAATTAGAAAATATTTTAGAAAATTTTGGAGATGGTTCTTATCCAACATATATGCAGAATGTGAAAGAGTTTTCCAGATTGTTGAATGAATTTAAATATAACGGGCCAATTACTAAAAAGGCTATAATGAGATATTTATATCCCAAAAAAGTTGAAAAACAGGAGAATATTCCTCTTTATGGTCCAGAGGACCTGGGCTCAGAGAGCCTTGAAACACCTCCTGAATATTTTGAAGAAAAAATTAAACAAGATGAATATTATAACGATGAGATTGAGAAATTGGAACAATTAAGAAATGAAATAGATGAAAAAATTAGGGAATTGAGAAATGCTGAGAATGAAGTAGAGGGTTTAATGAATATCCCAGCTTCAGAATCAGAAGTTCAAAAATCACATGAGGAAAGATATAAAAATTACTTTTTGGAATCTACTAAAAATTTATTAGATGGTGATATTGACGAAACACTTTCAGAAGAAGGCACAAAATTTATTCATAAACATAAGTTACAATTTATTGACGATGGAGATTATCCATGTATATTACTTTCACTTCCTCTTGATTCTGAAAAATTCAAAAAAGCACTGAAAAATGTAACATATGCAACAAATACGATTAAGAAAGAAGACCATGATATTTACACAAATTATTATTTAAATAAATGTACAGGTGTTGATAAAGTTTTTGATTTGTTAGATAAAATATCAAAAGAAACAATTGGTACATATAAAATTTTATGTGATTGTGGTTTCATTGTTGAAGATACCGTTGATGTTTCATATGAAAGAACAGCTCCGAAGGAGGACGAAGTGGAAAGATCTATTCCATTCGTTATTAAGAACATAAAAGATATGAAAACTTATAAACATTATATTTATTCATTTATTTCAGAAAAAATGGAAGCAACACATAAATCATCTCGTCATCATTTCATAGCTATTCATACATTCCTTTTCAAAGTTGTGAAATTAAATAAGACAGGAATTAGATTTAATGTATCAGGGTACACATTCTTGAGTAAATTAAAATGTATTCGTCACGTTGCAGATGATAAAAATTTATGTGTTCTTAATTCATTTTATGGACTTTAGCCCTGGACTCTCTGTCTGGACTTTAAAAAAATAAACTTTATTTTTATTTTTTAATTTTTATTCTTACATAAATGAACAAAAATGGAACAGCTAAAATGAATGATAATCAAATTAGAGCAGAAGGTAGAAGGTTATTTAAACGCTTCTATAACATTCCTGATGGTGTTAATCCTAAAACTCGTAGAAGTTATTTAAATGAAGCCATAGATTCATATGAAGGATTTGACATTTCATCAGAAAGTGAGAGGTTAGCAAGAATGTTAAACGTTAATATTGATTTCTATTATTGTGACCCTCAACCAGAAGACGTAGACATTAACAAGGTAGACTTTCCATTAGTGGAATCAATAATGATAGATCCAGAATTTGAAACAGTAAATATTTTATTAACACAGAGTCCATGTGGAAAACTTCACGCTGACAGAATAACAAACGTTGAAGCACTCACAGGCTATAGAGTTTGTCCATATTGTAAAGAAGAAGTTTATTCTATCCGTGATGACCCAGAAAGGAAAAACCAAAGAAGATTTTTAAAACATTGTGAGAAATGTAAAGAAAATAATGGTAGATTAATTCAAGACGTTCAATTGCAAAACACACAACAACCATATGCACCACATATTACGAAACAGAAGATATATCAATGGTTATTAGCACATAATTTGCAGGAATATTATCAACCGACAAGATATTATATTACTTTTGACTTCGAAACATTAGAGACTAAAGAAGAACTTCTACTTTCTGAGTGTGCAACTTTGAACGCTTACTTAAAACCATTTATGGTATCATCAACGGTTAAATTAAACGATAAAACATATACAAGGAATTTTTGCTTAACTTCGAGTGATTCGTTCATCTCTGATTGGATTGAATTTTTATTTTCAACCTGTTCATTAGTTGCTAAATCAAATATAAGTCAATATGAAGAATTAATGAAGCCGCAAACGGACCAAACGGCGGGGACTTTGTCCCATACATTAAATGAAAAACAGAAGGAAGCAATGAAAGAGCTTTTAGATGAAGAATTTAATAAAGTGAATATCATAGGTTTTAATTCGGGAAAGTTTGATTTAAATTTAATTCTTCGTGATTTAAATACTGCAAAATGGAAGATAAAATCAATGCTGGGTTCTTCTTCTCAATTTAAGCAAGTCATAGTAAAGAAAACAAACTGTCCATATGAATTGAGATTTATTGACATCAGAAATTATATAGCGGGTGGAACATTAGACCAATTTACTCAAGATTTCGGAAACAATAAAACACGTGTTAAATCATTCTTCCCATATCAATTCATCACATGGGAGAATTACGAAGAAGAATTATATAAAAAGGAACCATTCACTCAAGATTCATTTTATTCAGCATTAACACAAGAAACAATATCCGATTCAGATTATCAAATATATCTCAATGATGCTAAAAATTTTGAGAATAGATTAGAATATTTTATTCATTATTGCAATAAAGACGTTGAAATTATGATTGACCCAATTGATAAAATTATTGAAGAAACATTTGTTTATAAAATTGACATGCTCCATAATCTTTCATTATCATCTAATGCATCAATGATTCGTTACGCTTTAGCATATAAAGACTTTAATCCTAACGAAACATATCCAGAAGAAGATGGAATCAAGTTTTGAATTAACGAAAAAGTATTGGAAATATAAAATTGAATCATATAAGAAACAAGATGAAAAGGCGAAAAGAGATACCAAAAACAATGTTTCAATGGATGACTATCAATATTTTCACGATTTAATCCTTTCATCTAAATGCAAAATGTGTGGTAAAGCTTTCACATATGCAAATAAACCAACATTGGATAGAATCGATAATGAAAAACCACATACTAAAGAAAATTGTCAGTTAATGTGTTGTTATTGCAATGTCGTGAAATCAAATAAAGATGAAGAAGTTCAACGTTTAAGAATTAATTTAAGAAATTACGCATTAAAAAATAATTTACCAATGATTTTAGATTCAGTGGAAGCGTATCACATCCTCCGTAATGGAATTACTGGTGGTCTATCAAATGTTCAACATAGAGTAATCTTAAAGGAATCACCACATTAATAAACTTTCATATAATCCAGAAACTAAAACAGTATCAAATGAGGACACACCAACATCATGACTCATTTCGTTGGTGTTGATTTCAATTCATTATATCCTTCATCATTTTCATCAAATCCTCATGATTTCATTCAATACACCGATCATAGAATGTATATGCCGGGAAGATTGAATGAGTTTATCATTTGTGATACAGCAACAAAGAAAGCAAAAGCACTGGGAATTATTAGAAAGAAAAATACTTTATTCGTGGCTGAAGTAAAGGGTCACATTGATGAAAAATACATTAATGATTACATAAACTTTTTACCGATAATAAGAAACTTAGATATTATCACAGATGAAAAAACAATTGGTGGTTTTATGTATAATTACATGAAATCAAACAATCTACCGGTTGACCAGAAACAGAGAAAATTAACTCAGTTAGCATCCACACAACCAATATCAACCATTTTCTTCTTATTATCTATGGTATCTAATCGACAGATTTCATTTTATCATTGATGACAATTCAATCAATTTTAACATTTACGAAAACACTTGTTTTAATGAATTTGCGACAAATTTATGAACGAAAGACAAAAGGCTGAATTAGAAGGAAATAAAGGAAAAAGTTTATTTTGCAAGATTTCGCTTAATGGATCATATGGTTACGATGCAATGAATACACAAAATTACGCAAAGACTAAAATAATGAATGCACAGAAGTCACGCGTTGCATGTATGTCAAAATAAGTTTTAAAAACATAAGAGAAATAGTGTGAGGATACATATCAACTGATGCTTAAAGATAGATTTTATAGATGTGAAACATGTTTACAAGAGGCATTCTTCACTTTAGATAATGCTAAATACTGGTATTTAGTTTTCATTTATGATTTTATGTATAAATGCATGAATCTTAATCGTTTTCATTTCATTGAAGGTGATACTGATTCATCTTATTGGGGCAATCGCTGGCGATCCAAGTCTTCCTAACACTCAAGCATTTCAAGCAATTGTTACTGATAAACAATTTTATGATAAAAACATTTTCAAATTCGCACCATTTGATTTCTTCTGTTTTTGATGAGAAATTTAAACCTAAATTAAAGAATAAAGCTGAAGAAAAAGCACATGAGAAGAAGTTATTGGGTTTAGCAATTGAGAAACAAGGTGATAACATGGTTGCTTTATGTCCTAAGTGTTATACATCATTCAACGGAATGATTGGTGAAGACTCCTTCAAAGATTGCACAAAAAATGAAAGGTGTTAGTTTACGACAAAATAAGCAATTAACACCTAAAAATTATTTGGATATAATAAATGATAAAGTGATATTTGATGGTCTTAATATTAATTTACAACTTAAAAATGGGTCAATGACTCGCTTAACAATTGGTAAGACTGCATTAACAGGAGCACACACTAAGGCTGTATGTTGTGAAAATGGATGTTGTATGCCATTTATTTAAAACACTTATTTTATTTTATATAAATGAATAGCGTAGATTTAAAAAATTTAATTGATGATTTAGTATTTAATCAAAATTTTCTTAATTATTATGAATTAAAAGCATATCTCCAAAAATATAAATAACATATAACGGGTGATGATATGGAATATTATTATCCATATTATAAAAATGAAATTTTGAAATATCAATATATAAAATAATTTCTGAAATTAAAGACAAAATTAAAAATAATGAATATTCAAAGGGAAAAACTAAATCACAACTTAAACAGTTTGAAAGATTTCAAAAATAAAGTATTAACAGAAGAAGATATTGATGAATTATATAATTATATAATCCTGAGCCACAAAAACCAAAGGAACAAAAACAAAAGGTGCAAAACACCCAGGTTCAGCAGCTCATAAATGATGCACAAGCTTTAATTTATGATTCATTAGTTAAACCACATTCAGCCCGACTTTTAAATGAAGATCAACTTTTGGAATTCATCCTTCAACATAAACTCGAAGCGGGAAAGTATATCAAACCTTTATATACAGCATATTTAAAACAAATGAATAGAATACATCCAGAATAATGAAGGAAGGAATGAAATCCAAAATCAAAGCAGATAAAATTAAACCACTTGCAACACCAAAACCTCCAACAGTAGTACCTCCTCCTCCTTCAGTTAATCCTTCATCATTCGCTTTATTATATCCATTTCAAACATTTAAGAAGCAAAAAGATTTTAAAAAGGATTTCAAGATATTAAATAAACCAATTGACCCGAAAATTCAACCGTTAAAGGGAAAAATTTAGTCGCCCTTCATTTTGCACCATATCCATATTCATACGAAATTGATCATCTGGAATATTCAAAAGGAAATATTACTTATTTATTTGCCATTAACATTAACACTAGATATTTATATTGCATTCCGGTGAAAGGGAAAACAGAACAGGAAACAAGAGAGCTATTCAATACTTACTAGATCAGGAAAGAGTAGATAATATCAGGGGTGATGGTGATAAAGGATTTCAGGCAGCTATGACTCATTATTTTCCCACAAATTAATTTTTACTTCTCATCCTCTCCATATACGTTTCATAAAAAATAGTTGATGCGGTAATGAGAACTCTTAGAGATGCGTTAGGGGTTAACGGTCAGATATACTGGGATGGAAATCATGACTCCATCATACAACAGTTAGTATATTATTACAATAATACATGGCATAGAACAATAAACATGAAACCAGTGGAAATGAAAAATTGATATTTCAAAAGAATGGAATATATTAGAAAGCAAATGGAAAGGTTGAATGATGTTAAACGTGAACAAATTAATTCGGGGTTCATGAATTTTAAACAAGGGGATAAAGTTTTGATTCATCTCGATTATGGAAAAACTGATAAATCAATGACAAAAAAAGACGAAGATTTGACACAATAGCTGAATTTGTTAGATATATTAACGGCAATGCATTAGTTGAAGTTGACAATAAATTAATAGAAATTCCGATTTTTTTATTACTCCATTATATTTTAAATAATATTAATTTTTTTATTTCGTAAAGAAATGAGTGACAACAAAGCAGTCAAGAGTCCAGACGATGAATATAAAAAGAAACTAAACAGAATTAAATCAAAAATATGTTATTACAAAAAGAAGCCGCAATGTGGTGAGGTTGAAAACGATAAAGAAATAATCGAAAATTAGAAACTTACCGTTCAATCATTAAACTGAGTGAAGCAAAAATAAAAGAATTTAATAGAATAAATAAATTGGTTGGAAGAGATGAATTTAATAAAGATGAATTTTTAAACTCTATCCAAATTTAATTTTTTATTCCTCTTCGACAACATCTCTCTTTCCATCATTACTGCATAACCGCATTTTTCTCAGTTTAAGTGGTTGTTATTTTTAGCAAGTTCTCGCATTCATTTTTATCATTTCCTCCCTTGTTATGATTCGTGGTAAATTTTGAGCTTGTGGGGTATTCATTTATGATAAAAATAAAAATTTAAATTATGCTGTTCTAAAGTTTGTGACAACATGACATTTTGACAACAACACGAAGAGGAAGGCAATAATGACTTATTTTTGAAGAACTGAAGGTGTCACCAGGTTGTCATGTTGACGACATGACATTGTGTCAACAACACAGGAGGAAGGCAATAATGACTTATTTTTGAAGAACTGAAGGTGTCACCAGGTCACCATGTGTCACCAGGTCATTTTAACTTCTCTGAAAAAATGTGACAACATGACATTTTGACAACAACACGAGAGGAAGGCAATAATGACTTATTTTTGAAGAACTGAAGGTGTCACCAGGTTGTCATGTTGACGACATGACATT